GAGAATTGCTCAGAACCTTATTGAGAATCTCTGACTTGGACAAGGAGCACTCACCCAGTCTGACAAAAGAGATCATTGGAAGTTCAGAGAGAACGATTCTGTCTTCAATGAAGCCCTTGGACTCTGACAGAGACTGAGGTCTGTACTTTTTAACAATGTCTCTCATGGCCCACAGCATGAGTGTGCACTGTTTCATGTCATGATTAGAAAGCAGCAGAGGAACAGAGAACTGACACATGGACATTTTTAGTGACATTTCCTGCTGTAGAAAACCATCAGAACACAGAAAGAGAGCAGTGATTATATCGAGTGGATTTAACATAACACCTGTCTTTGGGCTATGGACTATATTTTTAAGATCTAACTTTGTACTCCCTAATTGATCGTCACAGTTTGAGTCACAAACAGGTATATATTTCACATTCCTAGCTGTCACATTACCCATCATCAGTTTCTTTAAAAAGTACCATGGAAGATCTGTTTCACACTTGGCAGGTAGATCAGTGATGGTCTTCTCATCAATTTCAAGTATTTTGCTGAGTGACAACTTCACGGTGTAGTGCTGGTCCAAGCCAAGATCCTTCAATAAGCTCTCAAACTGTGTTTCTGTGGATTAAGACAGTGATTATTAAACATATTGTATGGTTAGTTAATTTTCTCAATATGCTTGGATCCAAACTTAAAGTCATCCGGTATAATAATTATATTTGTAGCGTTGACTCAGTAAAACAAGAGTCATGTGACCGTTCTCTGGCATGAAGGATTAGGACCCTAGTGCAAGACTCGTGAGACAGACCGAACTTAAAAAGACTGCTTTTATTAGCTTATAGCTGACACAATAGCAAAAAATGCTAACACGGCAGAACAGGAGTAAACCGATTACAGGCAAGAGACAAACAGACTTAGAGACGCACATACAACATGAGAGAGGACACAACAAAGAACAGACACAAGCTGAGGGTTTAAATACACAGGAGGAGATTAGGACAGAGTAGGCACATCTGGGAAACACAACAGATTACAGTCTAATTAACAGGACAGGGGAAGCAAAACTGAACACAGACAAGGGACTGTCAAAATAAAACAGGAAGTAACAAAACACGAACGGCAACATGGAGAGGTAAACAAATACAGAGATGGGAACAGGACACATAGAGACCAGACCAAATAGTGTCCCTGTGTTTTTGGCTTGGCTTTGTTGCTAGCTCTCCAGGACTTCCATGTTTACCTGGGGTCCAGCACATTACCTTAATGACCTTGTAGTACCATATCACCCTATTAGAGCACTTCGCTCTCGTGCTGCAGGCCTACTTGTTGTTCCTAGAGTATTTAAAAGTAGAATGGGAGGGAGAGCCTTCAGTTTTCAGGCCCCTCTTCTGTGGAA